AGTCTTTGAAGATGATATAGTTCAGAGGTTTGGCAGCGGGGCTGGGAGAAAGATAGGATGGGATACTGGCAAGGTTCAAATGGTTTCTATGGGAAGGAGATCTGACCAACTGAAAATAGAAGAGTGAAAGTGGGTGAAGGGAGGGTGGCAGGGAAAAAGAAGAAATGGAAGAGGCCTACAGGGGTACTGATAGGACATTAGGGAGCATTGCTATGAACGTGTGTGAAGGCAAGGCTGTGAAATTAGGTTGCCTGGGTGTGTACTGTGGCTTCCTTACTTATATCTGTTAGACTTGGGTAAGTTATTCAGCTTCAAGTCTCAGTTTCCTCATCCACAAAATGGGGATAATAATGAACCTACTCATAGGGGTACTGGAAAAATTGAATGAAATAAGAGAACTAAAGCACTGAGAACATTGCCTGCCACAGAGAAGGATCCAGTAAATGTTACTTTTATCATTATTTTTTTATATGTTGGGAGAAAAATTTCACTTCTATCCTACCTAATTTTTAAAAATTTTATTTTAAAAATAAAAATTGCAGGGCACCTGGGTGGCTCAGTCAGTTAAGTGTCTGCTTTCGGCTCAGGTCATGATCCTGGGATCCTGGAATCAAGCCCTGCATCGGGCTCCCTGCTCAGGGCGGGAGCCTGCTTCTCCCTCTGCCCCTCCCCCCACTCATGCTCGCTCTCTCTCTCAAATAAATAAATAAAATCTAAAAAAAATAAAAAATAAAAATTGCATACATTTAAAGTGTACAACATGATGACTTGATATACATATACACAGTGAAATGAAATTGTGGTATAATTGTATAATGGAAGAGTATTCATCCTTAAAAAAGAACAACATCCCATTTGCAACAAAATGGATAAACCTGGAGGACATTATGCTAACAGAAATAAGCCAGACACAGAAAGAAAAAACTGCATGATTGCACTTATATGTGGAATCTGAAAAAGTCATATCCTACCTACTTTTAAAAATTATATGAAGAGGCTTAAATACTATCGGTTGACCAATGGAAAATTTCTCTCTCTTATTATTGGATTTATAAATTAAAAATACAATTTATACCGTATTGGTCAAAAGAAATTTGCTATGGCAATACCACAGCAGTCCCTTATAGTTTACTTTCTTCCTTTTGCCATTTGTTAATTTCTGGCTTCAACATCTGCCTATTACTTTCCACTTCTCCGTATACATGACTGTAGAATATTGGAAGACAATTATGCCCTTTTTAAGTGTTACATATGTAAATTTCACAAAAAATTAAAGCAAAAAAGCCCAACATGCGATATTTAATAGCTTTTGTAAGAGTCATTAAATTATAAAGATAATACTATCTGTAGTAAGGGGTATCAGATTTGGCAGAAATTATTAAAGCTTATGGACTAAGCCTAAATTTCCTTTGTTTTTCTATGATAGTATCTTTTAGTTACAGGCCCATTATTTTCCAAATGTAACTTAGTTATTAACTTAAAGGCCAATTAGACTTTTCATTATTCCTTCTGCTATTCATCCACTCTCTTTGAGCTGTTCATGGGTAATAAAATGCCTAAAATATCTACAGAAAAGAGAGAAGTAGAAGAAAAGAGCCCCAGAAGTGAATGAGCAAATAGATCTGGAATAATTGGGAGTTGGCTGTGGGGTTATATATTATTTTCTATGGGTAGTAAGTGGTTTTTAGACATACTTAAAACCGGGAGAGGCAGTATAAATAAAAATGTATAATTGAAGTCTACATTTATTTGATAGCTATTTCAGTTGTTTTTTTCCCTATAAAAAGAAACTTCCATTTTCCCAAGCCCAACGTTGAGATAAATCAGAGGTAAAGAATCTGGACTATTGGATAAAATGAGGAGTCAGGAGTCATGATTTTCTGCAGGTGGGCAGCTGACAAAGCTACGTCCGCAGAACAGCAACCAGGCCTCCTGTCACTTGAGGAACTCAGAACCAATTGAGATGGGCATCAACCAGGGAAAAGCAATTCCTTTCTAACCAAACAGAACTACACTTGATGAAATGATGTAGAAAATGGATGGCAGGAGACCTTTCCAATTTGTTATTTGTTAAAGAATAGGACTTCTGTTTCTGTCTGACCTCCGAGACATCTTTGCAGTAACTGAAATACTGTGATGGATAGTGCCGACGCTAGAAGTCTTTGAAAAATGCTTTCCCTCTGGCCAAACATACAAGTAGAATTCATTTTCCATATTCAAAATTCAGATCCTATTGATTTTTTTATTTAGATGTGCTCAGCCAGCCATAAGGACCTCACAGCACAAAGTCGAATATTTTCTGAAGCCTCTGTTGGAAGAGTATGGACCCACCGTGGGTCATGTATGCATTTCTAGCACAGTGTGAATCCAGGGTTAGGTTTGAAGATATGGGCACACCCTGGCTTGCCCGGGGATGGTATGATGTGTGTGAGCAGGAACTCTGTTATGGGCTGAATTGTGTCCCACCAAAATTCATATGTTGAAGTCCTAACCCCTAGTACCTCAGAACGTGACTCTATTTGGAGATAGGGTCTTTAAAGATACATTAAGTTAAAATGAGCTCATTAGGGTGTGCTGTAATCCAATATCACTGTTGTCCTTATAAGAAGAAGCAATCTGGGGCACCTGGGTGGCTCAGTCAGTTAAGCGTCTGCCTTTGGCCCAGGTCATGATCCCAGGGTGCTGGGATCGAGTCCCGTGTCTGGCTTCCTGCTCAGTGGGGAGTCTGTTTTTCCCTCCCTCTGTCTCTTCCCAGGCTTGTGCACACTCTCACTCTCTCTCTCTCAAATAAATAAATAAATAAATAAATAAATAAAATCTTTAAAAAAAAAGGAAGAAGGAATCTGGACACAGCTGTGCATGGAGGGGAGATGAAGTGAAGACACAGGGAGAAGGCAGCCATTAAGCCAAGGAGATTCTTGGACTTTTAGCCTCCAGAACTGTGAGAAAATAAATGTGGGTTGTTTACACTGCCCTAGCTGTGCTACTTTGTTATGGCAACCCTAGAGCCTAATATGGCTCTATTTGCAGTACATTAAACTTCATTAGACAATCCATGTCTACACTCAAGAGAGGCTGGTCCCCAGCACTAAGACAAGGTGGTCCTTCTACCTCTTGGCAGAGGAGTGTGTGTGTGGGGGAATCAGCCTAAGGAGAGGGGTGTTAGACCAAGGGCCCCTAGAATCGGGGAAGGGGAGAGAGTATTGTGTGAAAAGAAGGTCCAATTTTTTAATAGAAAATCATCCTTTGTTTTCTTTTGCGAAAGCTTTACATGTTCATTGTAGAAATAATAGGAAATACAGACAAATAAAATGAAGAAAGAAAGTATAACTATGACCTCATCACTTGGAGGTAATTGTTCATACATTGCTATAAATATTTCCAGATTTTTTCCTATAAGTACATGAATTTACACACACACACACAGCAAAATGGAATAATTTGTTTTTTATGATCATCTTTTCATGTCAATAATTTTTTATTTGGAGCACCATTTCTAATGTCTGATATTATTTCATTATATTGATTATATCCTAGAAATGGAATTGGTGGGTGGGATGTGTCCAAGCTTAGGCATATGTCCTGGCTTTTGATATATGTTGCCAAATTGCCTTCCAGAAATGATGCATCCATTTATATTCAGAAAGTCTATTTTGAGTGCAACATAAAGCCCTGTCACGGGTAACTCTTGACTCAGCTGTTCATGGGCTTTCAGCCAAATTCCTAGGGAGGAGAGTGTAGAAACCAGAGGACACTGAAAATCTGGGCAGTGACTCAGGACACTCAGAGGCTTGATGCAGGAGCATCCAGTGCTGGTGGAGGGGGCATTTTCTCCTTTAGCAGAGTGACAGGTGGAGGGAAGCTTGGCAGGATCAGCACGTCCCACCACAGAGACAGGAGCTGCAAGCTCCACCGGGTGGGGCCGCATCGGGTCAGCAGCTAGGCGTCTACTTGGAGAGCATGACATCCACGAAGTTGTGGAGAATGAAGAGGTGTGAAGAGGGGACTCACGTTGCTCACTGGAGAGTGGGAGTAATATCCCTGGGGATCTCTGAATGAGCCGGGAGGAACCGTGGGCTGAGGTTCCAGGGACTTTCACTGCAGGGAGCCTGAGATCACGGAGATTATGACCCCTGGTTGTTAATTTTATCCCTCAGGATTTCAGACCCTGGGAAAATACAGGTTATACTAGGGAATGAGAACAGAAGGGCCGATAGCCTTTGCAGTTTTTACGCATTCATAGAAGATGCTATTTGACTTTGGTTCTCTGCCCAGTAGAAGAGATCCCAGGGGGGGCATACTTAAAAAGAAAACCAAGCTAATCTTAAATGAAAAAGAAACTGTTTTATAAACATGAAAATTATAGGGCACTCAATAAAATGTGTTGGCAAGTAAACTTCTGACACATTGTATGATAAATAAAGTAGGTTAGCTCCTCTTGGGAGAAGAACTTGAATTCTACTTATCATTAGATCAGAACTTCAACAGGAATCTCGCTAAGGAAGATAAGCGGTGGTCTCTGATTTACTGGTGGATAGAGCATAGTAGAAAAGGGAATAGCACCTTCATTGTTGTCCAGAAAGGCATTGTTACCCTTCTTACTGTGTTTCAAGACATTCACAGAGCACCTGATCATCTCTGGGCCATGGACCTTTGCTGGTCAGACATAACCTATACATGAGAAGGACAGTCACGTTGATCTTGATAGGGACTTTGTCTGAGAAATAATAATGTGTTGTAGATAAAAAGTGAAGAAGTAACATTTTGTTTGACTTCTTTGAAATGTAGATTTAGCTGCCAAAGTTGCTCCCAAAAGTAAACTTATGTTCTGTACATTTGCCCAAGGCAATGAATAAATTTCCAATAAAACAAACAAACAATTCCTTCCTTGGGGTTGTTTTCTTCTATCTTCAAGTGGTACCATGGAGAATTAATTACTTCATAATCTTGCTCACGATTGCCTATCCAATTAAACACAGTTATGGAAAAACAGGGCTTACCGTCTATCACTGGTTTTGGCTGAGAACTTTTGAGGCGCAGCGAGGGCCGGAAACGGGTTCGGTCGTTGAAGCTCCAGCTCTTCTGCACTTTGGTGGGGCTGCCCTCGGCGGTGATGTCGGTGCTCGGGGACCTCCTGTCACCTACTGAGGCTTGTCTGCTCTTAATACTCTGGCCCCTGGGGCTAGCCATGCGCACTCGTTCCTTAAAGCTTAGCTTCTGACTGTGGACAACAGAGGCATGATTATTCCATTTCAAGCAATTTCTTCCACTCCACTTGGGTCAATACTGTGATGAAACTGTATATTATATTTCAATAGACAAAATGTTTTCAGCAAGTAGGAGCATAGCAATGTATTCTTCCCTTATTGAAAATTGGAACTTTATTTAATCTGTTTGCATTCGTTTGAACTCAACCTCACTGTACAGGTAGGCACACCCTTCCTGGATTCATCATAGAAAGGACTGACGTTGGGTATGTTAGTTTGTACACAATTACACTGGAAATAACCAAGAACTGGTTCAGTGTTTGCTTTAGAAATAGATTTTAGCTTTCACCTCAACTTTTGAGATTTAAAGAAAGTAATTTTTTTTATTTGGGAGCATATCTCTTTGTAATTTCTAAGCATTTCTACAGGGATGACAGTTACATATACATATACATCTACATTCTGCATGCATTTCATATTCCAGGCAAGATTATGATATCCATAAATTCATGCAATCTCATAGTGGTTGGTAGTACTGCATACATAATATTAAACATACAACATTTAACACCCATTTCTTTTATGCTTGCATTCATTCTTGTGAGACAAAAACCACACAATGTAGAACAGCCCCAGCATATAATGAATGTGATGACTGATTAACGGAATGAGATGGTATGTTCACTAACACAATTTCCTGCTATCAAACAGGTTATTGATTTGCTGTGGCAGCTACTGGTAAATTATATTTGTTCAGACATTCAGTTCTGAGATGCCAGCGAGGACTGAAATGCTGTGGGTTGATAAAGGAAGCATTAACAACAACAACAAAACCCGAAGTGTATCTCCATGCTTTCCCAATCAAAAGATGTGGTGTGATGTGGTGGGAAGGGCAGGTTGGAATCAAAGAGACTTGGGGTTTGGAGTCCTCATCTCGAACATAAAGACGAAAATAGCAACATAGCTAAGGGATTTTTGTGGGAACCAAGTGAACTGTAAGAGATGCTGTGTCCCCATTTTGTTTGTGTTCTTGTTTCATTTATAAAGCGCTGTGTTATTCATCAGGAAATGATACTCGTAGCCAGTGAGAGGCCCAGGACTCTTCAGGGTCTGCCGAAATGAAGGGTGAAGGGTCTGAGGGCAGTAAGTTGGAGCAGCTACTCTGAGAGGCTGAGACCCACAGTCATGCTGCAGCCTTTGTGGGGCATGAAGGAGGCAGTGTTCTCATGGACACGGATTATCCGAGACGAAGTGGAGCCCTTGTTTTTTCCACTTACCGCAATGTCCACTGTCCCCAGCTGCAGCATGCCAACAGCAAATGTGTTTAGTGGTTATGTGTTTTGTAGCTAACAAGAAACAGTAACATTTATTTTTCCATGCCTAGTTGCTTAACAAATGATATTCTAAAAAGACACCACATTTTATGTGTTTACATGAAAACAAATCAAATAATGAACTATGGTGATCAGAAAGTCCTGGTAACAATAAACGAGTCGACCATGCAACTGACCGCTCCCCTCTGAAATGCAGACGTAGGTAAGTCCAGCATGACTAGCTGAAGGCACATGCAAAGAACAGGCTGGGCAGTTTTGTGATGGGGTCAGGTGGGTTCAAGAGTTCTTTAAAACAATCCCGTCAGTCAAAGGCTTTCTCTGCACTTGACAAATGCATGATTAAATGGTAGATCACATCAAACAACAGCAACAATAACATATAAAACTGCATCTGTTTATGCTGAGACTAGGTTCTCCATGTCATCCCAAACCTTCAAATCATTTAAACAGATCCTCAAAGGGATAGGACCCAAAATGTCTACTCTTCTCAAACTTTGTTTTTGTTTTTTTTTTTTAAATAGTAAGAATTTCATATCTCTTCTCAGTTTTAGCACATCTGTTCCATCATTTAAATTTATGATGATAGGGTTCAGGAACATATGCTCAACTCTGCACCTTTATTTAGATGAACGAATGGCTTAAGTTTACATAGCTATCACTACAAGTGTTCTCACTGTACTTTATCTAGTTGATTACCTTTTCTGGAACTCATAGATGCTAATTACTGTGGAAGGTTGAGTTTCGTTAATATCAAATTATTTTCTCAAACTTTAAAGATATATCTCTTTCTTATACCAACTAAATGAAGAAGAAACTGATGAAAACATCATAAAACCACTTAATATGAAATTTAGTTTTTCCCTTTTAAGAATTTCAATTACTGAAAAAGTAAAAAAATCTGAAATAAGTATCAGCATCAAACCCTCCATGGCTAATTTACAATAATGAAATATTTAAAAACAATTGCTCCTATGAAAATATTTTTATTTAAAAGTTGCCTCTATGAAACATTTTGATAGCATCTCTTTCATGGAAAGTGGAAATAATATTTTTCTCTGAATCTTAGTACTATTTAAAGCACTTAAAGTTGATATAAATGAGTTCTAGCTACCATGTCCCTTTTTGTCCTTTTTTTTCTTTTAAAGATTTTATTTATTTATTTAACAGAGAGAGAGAGAGAGACAGTGAGAGAGGGGACACAAGCAGAGGGAGTGGGAGAGGGAGAAGCAGGCTTCCCGCGAGCAGGGAGCCTGATGCGGGGCTCGATCCCAGGACCCTGGGACCATGACCTGAGCCGAAGGCAGACGCTTAAACGACTGAGCCACCCAGGTGCCCCGCTTTTTGTCCTTCTTAACTGCATGAATATTTGCCAATGTCTACTATTAAAAGAATTCAAAAATCATTTTAAAGTGAATCCAACACATTACATATGAAATTAGACAAAAAAGATTAACGTTTTCAGTCTCTCTTTTGACATAATTGTATGAAAGTTAAGAATAAAATCTTAACTTGGAACTTTTTAACCAGGCAAAATTTTGTTCTCCAAGGCAAAGACCTGTTCTTACAAAAAAGCTCACTTCTATTAGTTTTTCTACTTCTTTTCCCCTTTGGAAATCAACAGAGCATCTTGATTAGATGACTATTAAACTGATTAGATGACTGTTACTGAAAATGCACATTGATTAAAAATATAGACTCTTCACTGGTCCATTCAAGTTTTCGTTATTTTCCTACTTTTTGGTCACATCTATAAACACAATTTTTTTTTTTTTTTAAAGTAGGCTCCATACCCAATGTGGGGCTTGAACCCATGACCCTGAGATTGAGTGACATGTTCTGCCAGCCAGGCGCCTCTATAAACGTGACTTTTGAGGAAGATTTATGTAACAGTGTTTTTAGGAAGATTGTCAAAGATTATTCCTAGGAGACCAATAAGAAGGTCTCTCTCTGGAGAAAGTAAGCCAAAGGACATTGTGGTCATTGATTGTGGCATCAATCAGCTGGGGTCTCTAGGAGGGGGCACCTGCACAACTATGGGGAACTGTGCAAGGGAATTCTTCCTCCTTTAGGAACCAGATGTACAAATAACTCAAATGGCCCAGCATGCAGGCTACTACTGGATGTTCCCTGCCAGGGAACTGTGTGGCATTATTGTAACCCCACAGTAATCCTCTTGGACTTAGAATGCTGTAGTCCTTGTTATACTTAATTAGGGTTTTAGCCCTTCATAGGATAAACATTCTACAAATTCTCGCCTCAGGCACAATATGGCGACTGAGCCGTTAACAATCCAGTGCGTGCAGCAGCTCAGCAGCTGTCCCACCACAAGGAGGCGCCAGGGCTGTGCGGGACCCTGCCTATTTGGCCCTGGCGTAGAGTATCAAAGCAGGCAACAGGCAACAACGAAAATTACAAGCGGGTTGAAAACCTCATTCAAGAAGTCCTTAGGAAGAGTGAGTCTCTGAGCAGGGCTCAGGTAGGATGGCGGTGGAACCAGGTCATGCACCTGAGGTTAGTTGGCATTCTCAAATTTCATGTCAATAGCCGGGATGCTGGGTACCTCTGCTTCCGTGAGGTGTACGTTCTGAAGAGCTTCTGCTTATTACTACAGAACTTACTAGGAGTGAGGGAAATAGAGCAGCACATTACTAAGCATTTCACCACCACGAAAGTGCTTAGGGATTTCTTTTTCTTTTTAGAACAACAAAGCCATTTGGCTTTATTGTTTTTCAGATATAATATACAGACTATTTAAGCAGTAAGTCCTAACTACATAGTTTAATTGTGCTGCTTGGAAAATAATCAGTGCTCTTAATGGTGAGGTTGAAACCACTGGATGTGAAACACACATTACAAATGATGGTAGCCCGTGTGTTAGCATCGGATTCATATGAAAATAAGAACATAAATATTTTAAAATACAGCAACCCTTGTAATAAATAGCAATGCAACACAGTATAAACGAGGAACAAACTATTTCAGAACCTTAAATATTTATAGGAATCAATGAAGCTGATAACATTAATTGCTTTGAAATATTAAAAAAGGTTCTTGATTTGTATAAAATACCTGCAGTTATAGTTAATATCAATAATTGTCAGAATACATGCTCCAAAAAGTCAGAAGAAAAGATTCTAGGTCACTAGCTTGTTAAAAAAAGAGTTTCTTATTGTAAGTCTTTTGATATGTTTTTAAAAGACTAAATCTTTCCCCTCTATCAATAAATGTGAACAGAAGGAGAAACCATTTTCAAAAGATTGTTTTTGAAACAATCTAACATTTTGCCCATAAGGACACAAGTTGATTATGCTGGAAAAAAAAAATGTCTAGCCTTACTTAGTTTAACAACACATGCAGATCATTCGTTGCACACAGAAGAAAGAAAATGTAAATAATGGAAAACAAACGCCCAAGAAATACAAGAATGCACAGTCTTTTCTGTCAGCATTCTAGAGTTCTCTCCTAAGAACCACACATCTCAGAACCTAATAAAGCCAACCATGTAGGAGCAATTTGGACAAAGCACTCAGTGGATCACAGCAGAAGATGATAATGTAATAAAAGAATATCATTTATGCTTTAACTTTGAAGACATGCATCTTTGTAACAGTCTCACAAGAACCTGTTAAAGCAACTTTAGATAGTCTAATAAGAAGTCTGACAGGGTTCTATTTAAAGCCCACAGACTGTGATCAAGGCAGCTTAACTATGAAGCATGCACATAGCCAACAATTGTTGGTTAAGGAGACAGGGTAGGCAGAAGTAGCAAGATTTATAGATAATTCCCAAACTTCCGTTGGCGTGACCTAGTCTAGTAGCAATAAAAACCTAACAGGGAGGAAGAAGAGCCTTTTTGTGGCAGGGTGTACAAGATGGCTGACTGACCTCCTTGTCAAGGAGGAAGGGAGGAGGACCTAAAATCTCAAGGTGAGAGTACTGGCTTAATTTGGTTTGATGGGGTTATAGGTAAATTCTATTTTCTGAAAGTGACAATTAGTACCAAAACAGAGAAAAACTATCCAGTTTAAAAAAATGAGTTGGAAAAATTACTTAATGGGATGATTAATTACAATAAAATCAATAAACATATTCACCACATATGGGATTAGAACTGTTTTAATGGGAAGACAGAGGAAAGCAAATGAGTCATTAAATGATGCTAAAGAAGTTGCATTTATGGTCTAAGTAGAGGAAGAACAGAGCAGGCTCAATTGAGACTAATGGTAATTTGTACCTGACCCCGTACCAAAGACATTATTTTAATGTCTCAGAGAGACACTATTTCAACTGTTGTTTAGTTGAGAGCCTCTTGAGACTGATGGTTTGTATATTTAAAGAAAAATTTTGGACCTGTTGCAAACAATGCAAAAGCATCACAGAACTGGATGTCTTTCCCTAGCTCAAATTTGTTTAAAAATACCCTAACCTCAGTGTAGAAAGACAAAAATCTCTCTAACCAGAATATTCCAAAGCAGGGAACCTCATTAGCTATGGGGGTAGGCGAGTGTGTGTGATGCTTCACTACATTCTGCAGCGAGAAAAGCCTCTCCGTGTCTGGCCCGGTCATTCAGAGGGAGACCGGGCCAGACGCACCAGGAGAGAGTTACAGGCTACTGTGCTAAACCCATCCACGCTTGAATTACTCCCAGTTCTTAACACAATGAAAAGCCAGGAGGAAAGATTTAGGAGACTTCAGGCTCTGAGATATCCGGAAGATCACAGAGTTGGCTGAAGTTTCTCTCTTCTGCTTATCTGAATCACCATCAGTAACCCAATGGCCCCAAACACAGTAAAGGGCTTTGCATTTGGCTGGTGTTAATCAATCCATTTGAAATTGGGTCAAGGATTAATCAGCAATAGTCTGGACCCAAATCTGCTCTCTTCTAAGAAACAATCCGCATTATAAATGCATTTTCCTTTGTGCACATTTTGCTTGAGTAAGGGCAAATTTGTTTTTCTTAAGATGGTACTGTTGCTATTGTTAATACAATAGTCTTTTTGCATTCATTATGCAGTATTATAAATTCCATTGCCCATGGAACACAACAAGGTGAAAGCTAAAGTGATGTTTTAAAATGGGAGCTTCAGCTTTTTTCCTTCAGATTATTGAAATGTTTTTACTTTTTCATTGGCTCTCTTTTTGTATATTTCCTCATTCCCATTTTTGTTGGTGTTTTCTCTTTCTACGTGAACTACTGGAGGTCAGGGACATTTTATTACTCTATCTAAGAATTGTTTATTGAGCACATTCTCTGTCATAGCTTTGCACAGGATGATGTGATACATAATTGGGGGACAGAAGACCTAAGTGTATGAAGTATGAAACATCAAGTAAGGCACGAATGCTCAATAAATGGTAATACAGGACATGTTTCATGGTGGTTTTGCCAAATGTCCAATGACCATAGAGAAGCAAGAAATCTGTGTGTAATATACCTCGGTGTTTCTGTATATGTTCAAACCTACAGGTGAGTAATTTTTGACACCCTTCTTCACAAGCATGTCGAATAAGTTTTGATATTTTACATGTGAACATCATGAAATTTAAAAAATTTGGTCAGTAGTCTTTTTGAATCGTGACAGCTGATTGGGAGGTTCATTTTTGGAGTGAAGAACAAAAAAGCTCCATAGTTACACTTTGATTTTGTCTTTGCTTCCTGCCTTGGTAACATTTGGAAAAAGTGCAATATCGTGTCAGCCCAAGGGAACCCCTCACTCAGGACTGTCATACCACGTCACACTTTTGTGAGCACCTCCACATGATTCACGGACTTCCCCTTTAGGTGTCAACAGCTCTGTTTTGGAGGATGAAACCAAGACAGGTGACCTTGCTCTCAGGTAGCTATGGAGTTTGTGCCAAAGATAGTCTCTGCCTTTAGGATTTGGAGACAAATTACCCTTTGACATAATTTGTAAATGGATAGCTCCTGAAACAAGGAGAGCTTTTCAAATATCACCAAATAGACTAAATGGCTTATAACGGCTATGATTCATTTTGTGTAACTCTTTTCAAGTAAAATGGCCACAGCGGAAGGACGGTGGGGTTTGCTGGAAGTCTAGACAGAAGAAGACTAAATGGTCAGAATTGGTGAGCCTGCCTGTTCTAGAGTCTATGCAAAGAATATTCTGAGTCTAATCACCAGAACCTCTCTTTGGGCAGAAATATTTCTAAAGTAGAGAAGACCAAATCTTGAGGCTACTAAAACTTTCTGGAAATATCACCCAGGAATATCTAATGACCTTGGCCCTAATTCTTTGCCTGCCAAGTAAGAGAAGAGTCCTTAATGCCATCCCTGTGTAGGCTTACCTTCCTCAAAGGAGTGTTGTGCATCCTGCCACATCTATCTCTCGTCATGGATGCCTTTATGTTCTGGCGCGTGAATCTTTTGAAGTGTTAATATAATGCAGAAATGGATGATCCAGAACCTCATCATCCCAAGTGAACTTTCAAAACTAGTTTCAGGACTGTATAAGTATATTATAATTAGTGTCATTAGTCTGACAGTACAAAACTAAAGGAACAATCCCTGGACTCCCATTGGTCCCCACCCAGGGGCCAACTCTGTGCAGGTGGAATGCCTGTTGTTTCCTCATTACTGAAACAAGTAGCAATGCTAGGAAAAAATTTTTTCTTCTTCCCTTCCAGGCACCTGGGATTCTCCTGCTGGTTCTGCCTCTGCTACTCCTCACACCAGCAGTGTTGAGATCCACCTGGCTCTGTCCTTCGGGGCTATGCTCCCAAATCCAGACTCTTTCCTGGCACTCAATAACACAGAATAAAATGTTCTCTTTCACCTCCCATTCCTCCTAGGTCTAACTCTCTGCTCTTTAATCTGATAAAGCATTTCCTTGAAAGGCATGAAAGAATGGCCATAAATTATTTGGTGAAGTTTCTTCTTCCTAAAAGATGGGGCGGTGGTGGGGGGGGAGGCTCTTCTTCTGAATCATGTTACTCAAGTAAACCAATGCTTAATGAGCTGGAGATGTCACAGAGAGATTGTTTTTACCTCCTGTACACAGTGCTCCTTTTGCCCAAAAAACCCATTTTTTTACTCTAAAAGGACCCTGATGAAGGGGAATATATCTTACATTGCTTCCCAGAATTTGAATACTTTGGTAAGACTTCCTTCTGAGAAAATGGTACCAAGGAATAACCAAAGGCCATAATTTATTATTTTTCCCCAAGAATGTTCCATGCCCTGCCGATTATAAAAAGCAGTGAGTTAGGGAGACACTGAGGGAAAAAGAAATCAATGAAACAGCAACCTTTGCAGGCAATCTTGTGAAAGGTCACTTTTAATCATCTTGTATTTCTTGATCAATTTTACTCACATGAGATACATTTAAAACATCGGTTAGGTATCAGATTTATAAACAAACATGGAGCAGAAGAGAAATCACAAACCTGCTGGATGTTTCCCCTTGTTCTTTCCTTCAGGTGCGTGCAGGCAGAAGAGAAATGATGATAAACTGGTGAATACATTTATAGCACGTGATAATGGAGGATGGGGAATAAAGTACCCTAAGTAATTCTTTTTAAGCAAGATCCACAGAAGCAGTATTCCTTATAAGAAATGTACCCAACTTTTCAACATATACTCTTTGTAGCACAGACCTGAGCTGGCACGTTTACTTAGCAAGACCAACAGTGCCCACATGTAACCTAAAACTGTAAACTCCATGTTAGCTAAGGTTATCCATGGTTAAGAAAGCAGCTTTGATCTAACTGGCATCAATAAGGACTCTTAGAATAGTGCTGGTTACACTGTAGCTTCAATCACTTGTTGAGGAAGATTTTGTTTTCATATTGTATACAGTACGAATTCTCTTGAAGTAAATTAGGCGCATGGGAAATTGATCACAGCCACCCTGGACTAGTGTTGGATGGTATCTTTAACAACCCATTTTAGCGAATGCAGGTCTGTGCAACATGGTGTAGGGTCCCTACTCTTTACAAATGACTGTGTGTCTTTGGGGGAGCACCTCACTTTCTTGTAGGTCTTGATTTTCTTATGAAAAAATTGAAGGCACTGGATTACAGAATGTCTACATTCTGACTTTTTACACTATCACACGGCATCCTTGGAGCTTGATAATTCCCCACAGCTTCATAAAATATCAGACTCACTCCCTAAAAGAGCACATTTACCTGTGTTATACACTTTGCACAGCCTTCATTTTCTCTAAGAAGAAAATCAAGAAAAATATGTTCCCTCTGTAAATCCGTCTGTTATTAAAACAAAACTTTGAAATAGCAACTGCTAAGACCTCGAAAGCCTATGTGAGACCAGCCAGACCAGAAAGGAGAGAGTCAGAAACTGCGGGGTATATGCCCGGCAGGACTGAGCAGGTATGGCCTGCCCCCTCACCCTACCCTGTCTCCCCTGCACCCCTGTCACACCTCTCTTCCATCCTACCCCCTGAAATGAGGTTGAGGAGTCAAAGCATCTCATTGTATCTCTAAAACTCCTGGGAACAAGAGCATGAGTTCATGTTTTTTAATGATAGCGGTATCATTGATGATGATGCTATTGATAATATGATCTCTTCCCTGACCACCTATTTAAAATTGTAATCCCTAATGTCCCCCAAATTCCTTCCCTACTTTATACTGTTCTCCTTAGCACTACTCTATTACATATTTTATTTATTTGTTTGTTTGTTTATTTATTTATTTATTTATTTATTTATTTTCTCTCCCCAATGTCCCTTGAATATACATTCCCCAAAGCCTGAGGTTCTAAACTATTTGGTTTCTTTTTTCTTTCACTACTACACTTCTAGTGCCTGGAAATTGCAAAATAAGAGGTGCTCAATGAATAGTTACTTAATGAATGCACAAATGAATGAATGAATCATCTCTTCAGAAGTTCTTAAACTCTGAATGTTATAGGAAATACACTATATAAATAAAAAGAAGTTTCAGTCTGTTTCTTATTACATCACTCTGCGCTCAGTAAGCCAATTAATTATAAATGTAAAAATATCCCCCTAAGTCATTGTAAATTATTCTCTTCACAGATCTACAAACTTGATTAAAGCAGGTTTGCTTTCTAAAGCAAAGGTTCTGAACTTGGCTTCAGGGAGTCTATGAATACATTAAAATTGTAGGCAAAATTCTGATTTCTTTGCATTTAATATTTTTTTTGTGGGAAAGAGTCCATAATTATTATCATGTTTTCCATGGTTTAACAAAACTAACAACAATAATAAGGATTAAGAACCACACAATTTGGAACAATAACATGTCACTAGAGGGAGAGATGTTGGGATATTCAGGTTTCCTGAACTTTGCCAGAGATGGCTGTGCCATTCAGGACAAGTACCCTGTTATTCAGTAAATGGGGCCGGGACTCAGAGGTAAATGGGGGTGCAGGGAAAGGACAATGAGGGGGAGGGCTGACAGCCAGAGTGGAACGGCATGAATATGGGTGTTGGCATAAATTCTCCTCTCCCTTCCCTCCCCTCCCCTCCCCCCATTTAAAATAGAAAATTTCGGAGGAAGAAAGAGAAATTATGTGAGTAAAATCATAGTTTATGCACTGGGAGAATTTGACTTATGATTCAATAATTTTTTCCAGGCTTCAGAATGACTTTAATCCAAAAACTTCGGGAAGTGGAAAGCCAAATTATCACATGATAATAGATCATTCTCTTCTGTCACTTGAGAACCTTCTTTTGTTTCTTCTACTAGTTTTCGTCTTACATATATACCTAGAAACCTTCATGAGTACAAGAAACATAATTTCTACACAATTCCCATTTCTGACTCAATACCTCCAAGGAATAGATGTTTTGTTTTTATTACCACAACTCTGAAAGAGTCTCACACTCAATAAAGGAAAGTCAACTCAATTTTAAGATCTACATGAAAAGAGACTTCTCATGCATGCATTCATTTGACAGCATCCATGCTTCTTTCCTTGCTAAGGTTCCGTCCCTTCTTAAGACCTGGGGTTCTAGGAATATCTCTATCACAGGTTTTGATCCCAGCTTTATGAGACATGTCCTATCAGAGCTTAAAAGTTATCTTGCTCACCTCTCGTCCTTCACTTGGTGGATGGGGCCCGGGGAGGATCAGGGAAGCAATGTAACAGATCCTGACAGTTAGTGACAGATGTATGGCTTCCTAACAGTGTGTGCTCTGAAGCAGCACAAACCTCCATTGAGACTGAAATTCCAGGCAATAAGTCATGAAAGGTTCCCCAGTTGATTGCTCTTCCACAGCAAGTAAGAAAGAGGTTTCTCTGATTGAATCACAGTAGTTGGATGCCTTGAACCCCATGAAGCCACTAGGATTAAGGTTTTGTTGGACTATGAAAGGGAACAGCAGGTGCTCTAAAGTACTAAGTAAATAAGCACTTTGGTAACTTTTGAACAACCTGAGGAACTGACTATTGCAATCAAGCTGGGTGACACAGAAAGCCTTTCCCTTGGCTTATGTGCTTTGGTTGTTTCAACGAGGACTTCTTTAATGAATATGGTGATTTTGATTAAGTATATTCGGATAGTTGAACTGGAGTCCAGGATTCCAGGACTAAGGATTTTTTTTTAAATTAAAGATCACTGTGGTAACCATCAGGACTGTTCATAAGTTTTCTGGTTCTCTTCTCTTTCCAGGCACATGGGAGGACTGCACTTTCCCATCCCCTTTGAGTTGGGGCCTGACCAGGTGATTTGTTTGGGCCAATGAAATGTGAATGGAAGCCATATTACTTTCCAATTTTGAATGCTAATTTCAAATTTTAATCTGATTGGTCCCATTGCTTCACTGTATGGGGTAATCCTATTAGGACTCCAGCTATTCTTTTGCTACTGACACTAGCTTGATCAGCATGTGAAAGCTCCAGGACCATCCTCTAAGATGATCCAGATGAGAAATGACTTTGAGGGACTTTATGCAAAGATACATTGCTCTCAAAGTGCTCCCTGCTTGGGGTCAGGTGACTGACGGAGTTTAAACCATCATTGTTTTTCAAGAACCATGGTGGTTACTTTTAGAATTTCAGTGGGCTTTATGAAGTGATTTATTAGAAAATAAGCATGAAATAGTAGCAATAAATCTCTATAAAAGTTTGAATTTCTTTAATCTTTAAGCTCAGTCTGTGAATGCTGAGGAACAATACTGAGTCCATTTAGTTTTGTGCCTGAGTTGCTACTCACAGGTAGGTTTGAATCTCTCGAAGGGCGAGAGAGAATAAGACAAGCCAAATATCAACACGTGTGTGTGTGTGTGTGTGTGTGTGTGTGTGTATGTGTGGTTTGTTTTGGGAACGTAAAGAGGCTTGACGAGAGCACCAGCTGTCACAGTGATACCTACTTGGTAGGGCTGCAGGTGTGCAAGGCCTTCAAGTGTGGCTTCCAGGTTGCAATGGAAACAGATTTCTCATCAGCTGCATAACTACGCCAAACGCACTGCATGTGGCATACGTGGGGACATAAAAAAGAAAAACAAAAGAGAGGAGAAAATAGAATAAAATGAAAAGGGAGATTATTAAATTAATATATATTAAGAATCTTTTCCTTGTCATACTTGGCCCCGATTAAATGCCCAGAGGGTGAAGAAGGCGACTTTGGCATTTTCAGCCTGCTGTTAAACACATTCTGCCACATCAGTGGAATTGGTATTCAAAACAACTCACACCAGACAATAAAAGTACCAAAAAGTATAACATAAAAGCAACCTGTGAATTGGCTAGGAAAAGAGATGACATTATCCGAGGTAAACTATCTGAGCAAGAACATGCATTCCGGGAACGACTGCACTTTAGTCACTATTTGATAAGATAGTGGCAAAGGACTACCTACAACCCACAATGCAACTAGTAAACTAACAGTAAACCAGCTAGTAAACTAATGAAAGGGTCACTAATTAATGAACATTAGTTAGTGTCATTCCCTGACATTGGACTGTGTAATACTGCTAATGCTAAAAATGGGGACAGTGATAATAAAAAGCAGGGCTAAAACAAGACAGGGAAAATGTACTCTCTAGGAATATAATTGGAAATTTAAAAATTTAATGTCATGGTCTAAGAATATGTTAGGGCTTTTTGATGTAAAACATAAGCTCTCTCTACTTTATATAATTACAACTGACATATATAATACAATGTATCTTCACGTAGTCCTTACACTGGAAGGGTGGATTCAGACTCTTATTTTGTAGAAGAGAAAAATAAAGGCTCAGGTAAATTAAGAGGTTTACACAAGGTTGGTAGAGTTGAGACATTATCTCAGACTGCCTGGTTCTTGGTCTTAGAATCCCTCTGTTGTCCTTTGCTTACTACCTGATGGCTATTGCTGGAAAAGTTTCCCTCCAAACTGTCCATCTGGGAGATTGCCCAAACTTATTTTCCATATAGATGTTAGTGAATTTTTTTCCTTTGTAATAAGTCTGCAAACATTTCTAATGATCAAGTGTTTACTCCAATATCCCGAGAGAAATTTTTTTTATTATAATTCATAAATCAAAGCATTCTACTTTATGTGGCAGATCCATTTAAACGGGTCATTCATGATTTTGAAACTTACAATGAAAAAAACAGTGATCTAATAATAGGCCTTTTCTTGAGAATATCATTAAATAAATATGCCCTGAACAAAAAGACTTAAAAGTTGACCCAACAACTTTGGGAAACTGTTTGGCAGTATCTATTAAAGCTGAATATATATACATATACATACCCTATGATACAGCTACACATTCCTACATACATACTCAATGATGTGTTTATATATATTCATCAAAAGATATGTAGTTTCATGTTCAAAACTGCACTGCTCTTAATAAACTGAAGCTGGAAATGCTCAAACACCTACCAACAGAAGAATAAATAGGTAAAGTGTGGTCCATTAACATAGTGGAATAGTCCACAGTAATAGCACGCTGGAACTATGCTCAGTGATGGATGAACTTTATATGAATCACGTTGAGTGAAAGAGACGAGACACAAAAGAGGACATGCTGTGTGATTCCATTTTATTTATGCTGTTTGAAGGCATCACAGTGGTTACCCTTGGGGGACAGTGATTGAGAAAGGATACATAGAAGGTACTGGTCATGTTCTGTTTCTTTATCTGGGTGCTGGTTACACAGGAGGGCTCAGTTCTCTTTAGGTATGTGCTCTATTCTGTATGCATATTACACTTCAGTAAAATGTTCAAGAAGTGATATAAAAAACTAGGAAAATATATCTTAAGACCTGAGGGTATTTAAAAAAATATATTAAGGAAGGTTTAAATAATTGAAGCGGGGTTCCTTGCCTGGAGCTTTGCTTACATGGCTCATTGTTGGTTTATCTTACAAATCTGTGAAAACTTATGCTAAGCATCTTGGCATCTTAAAGAGAGTAAAACAATTATCACATCATCTTGAAATGTTAGTTTTTGCAAATAATGTTTAAACACAGTTTACAGAGTGACCTAGAGTAATCAATGAAAACACATGGGTTTATTATTGCAGTTTCTTATATAGTGAGGCCCAGGGAAACTCCAATGCTCTGACGGCACAGATGGCTACTTTAATTAAACAATTTTCATAGAAGGCATCATATAGATGTGAACTCAGATGCTTTGAAAGCAAGACCTGTGTAGAACTGGAAGCACCCAGCAAGCCTGTGCATTATTAGATACCAGTGAAAAAAATCCCAAACAAAACAACAAAAAATGGGACCAAGACATTACCTGCCCATGTTACAAAGAACTAGGGATGAACCAGGCCTCTTTTAGAAAATTGAAGATTTCCTTAAAAATGAGACCTGATTTCTTGCTCTTTTTCTATTAAGTTGATCTCAGGAGCTAAGCTCTTATGCCCTTCATTACTCTTTTCCTAAAAATGTCTTGGAAATGGGAGATACAGAAGGAGCAGTGGCATCTGAATCGGAGCGGATATTAGTTAACAGTAAAGATGGAAATGGAAAGTGTAACTTCATTAGTATTACAATCTTAACAACTTTGTCCCGTCCTTAGCTTGCTCACTCAACTAATTGCTTCAGGTACCTGAACCTCAAGGCCACGACCATATATGATCAAGTAGCTGATCTTCCTACATTTAAAGCCAAAATCACATAGTGGTTGGCAAGAGAAAAATAATGCCCCAGAGGGATTTAATTGACATGGCAAATGTACTCCAAAGGATAGGGCAAAAAGAAACAAAATGAAAGCCAAATTTACCATTTATTAGGTGACCCTGGTGCTCAAGGCAGCCAAACAAATTCAAACTTTGGTCTATAATTATAAGTACAATATCAGTATAATTAAGTCTTTAAAGGGAGTATTTAGTTTGTATTGTCTAGAGTATTACAGCTATGGCACATTTGACCCTTTCCGGAAATTTTAGTTTCAGGTCACCTTCCAAAGTATAATTAACATGGAACTATTATTTTCAAGGTACAGGATTTAAGAAGTTGGAGTACAAAAAGATTTAGGGTGAAAACCAGCAATCCCTTTCCCCACCTTGCTTCTCATTAATTTTTGTTCCTTAGAGGTAAACCCCCTTCACCTCTTACAGCTGTTGCTTCTATTTTTAAGAATTCTTATTTTTAAAGATTGTTCTCATACTTATGTTTCTTGATATTTCAATTTTAGGCATTATCAATTAGCTTCCCGCCATGAAAAATAATGGCAGCTCACTCACACATCCTATTTCTTTCCTTTTATCCGAACAACTTTTAGTTCAGTTGCTATTTAGCATTTGCACTATTATGACCATGTAACTACTGTTCCTAGTTCAGCAATGTGGTGTACCAGGACTACTTTTACTTTCCTATATATAGAGTTTTGTTTTGTCTTAGAGTAATTATTGTCCTATTTCAATTTCTTGGTTTGCTTTTTTGTACCTCTTGCAAATACATTTCCCAACTAATAGAACTCTAAAATTCCACTTGTCAAATACATCATGGAATCTGTCAGTTTCATTTTTTATTTCCTTGGAGATCTATTTCCTGGAGCTCTCCAGCCTCCTGCTTCCTCTGCTCTTGAGGCCTGCTTGAGCTTTTGTTCTGGGACTTCTCTTCCTATCATCCTGGGAATTCCCTCGGCTCTTTTTTGGGTGGGATCTCTTCTTTCCTGGATCCCGTGTCTCTTCTTGGTTTATCCTCTTGTTTTAGAAGAGTAATTCTATCCAAGTAGCTTTTTTTTTTTTTAAATTCAGCTTTATTTAGGTATAACTGACATAAAACTGTTAAGACAAGTGAAGTGTATATCATGGTGATTTGTTAGATGTATATATTACCCCCATGTCTTTATTTTCTTCTTCTTCTTGTCTTTATTTTCTTCTTCTTCTTCTTCTTCTTCATCTTTATTTTCTTCTTTTTTTGTGAAAACAGCTAAGATGGCTACTTTAATTAAACAATTTTCATAGAAGGCATCATATAGATGTGAACTCAGATGCCTTGAAAGCAAGACCTGTGTAGAACTGGAAGCACCCAGCAAGCCTGTGCATTATTAGATACCAGTGAAAAAAATCCCAAACAAAACAACAAAAAATGGGACCAAGACATTACCTGCCCATGTTACAAAGAACTAGGGATGAACCAGGCCTCTTTTAGAAAATTGAAGATTTCCTTAAAAATGAGACCTGACTCTTAGCAGATTTCAGTGATATAATACAGTGATATAATAACTATGTACAATCTAATGTTGTACATTAGATCCTCAGACCTTATTCATCTTATAGCTGAAAGTTTTTACCCTTTTACTCTATTTACCCGACACTCCAGCCCCTGGCAACCACTTTTTACTCTGTTTCTAGGAGTTTGACTTTAAAAAAATTTAGATTCCATATATAAGTGAGACCATGCCGTATTTGTCTCCTTCTGTCTGGCTATTTCACTTAGACTAATGCCTTCAAAGTCCATCCATGTTGCTACCAATTGAGGAATTTTCATGCTTCTCATGGTTGAAATAACGTTCCTTTGTATACATATACCACTGTGGAAAACAGGATGGGAGTTCCTCAAAAAATAAGAAGTAGAACTACCATTATGATCCAGTAACCCCACTTCTGGGTTTATATCCAAAGGAAATGAAAACTGGATATCAAAGCGCTATCTGCACTCCCGTGTTCACTGCCACACTCTCCATAACACCCCAAATGTGGAAATAATCTAAGTGTCCTATTAATGGATGCATGGACAAAGAAGGTGTGATATGAAAGCTAATGCCATCTTAATTCTTTACCCTTTGGATACATCCTGCCCAGAAGGCACGTAAGGTCCTTTTTGCAAGTGTTCTTTTGTTTGCAGTGCTGGGCACTTGGTGGGCCCAGGGTGGACCCTGAGTGACCACTCAGTTCTAGAGAATCATAATATAAAATTTCTTTGCTAAAATCCTCCCTTAATTTCCCCTGTACTCTTTTTGAGGTATTAGTTGGATATTTGATCTCCTGGTAGCATCATCCAACTTTCCTTCTTTTTTGGTCTTATTTTCTATCTCTGTCTTTTTCTTCTAATTTCTGGGAGGTTTTCACAGCTTTAGCTCTGTTCCATTTTCTCTTCTTTTCTGCCATCATGTTTCACACATCTAGGAAACTTTTTCTCAGGCTGTTCTTATTTATGAATAAAGCACTAAAAAAGATTATATAAGTTCTGTATAAGGCTTGAGCGTATTGACTGGTGGCCTTACTTCAGGGTAACTGGGTGAAGACTCAGGTGGAAGCCGAAGTCTCAATATATAATTATTTTTTCTTTTGGGCTGCATAGCTTCCCCATAGCAGTATCTTCTAATCTCTTCCCTTCAGGAGAATAAGTCTGTCGGTCAGCGTCCACTTCACAAACTTTCACTTAATTCCCCTGTTTCTCTTTCCAGCAAGCATCTTGGCTCCACCCTGAGCTGGTCCAATCTTTCTCAAAATAAACCCCCTAATGTGGCATTTTTGAAGTATCTTTAAATGCTAGCCCCAAGACTTCAGAGATCCATAAATGAGGACGCAACGGCTGCTATTTGAAAGGAGTAATGTATTATGATTCAGACCCCAGGGACTGAGTCCTAGCTCTTCCTAGGCTTGGCCTGGAGATCAAGTGACATCATGTATTAGAAACACCCTGCAAACTGAAAAATACTTTGCAAGTCTGGGCATTATTAATAAAAGTTGTGACATTTGGGCAGGTATTCAAGCTGTTTTCTTTTCCCAGACTGCCCCACTTGAAATGAAAAGTTAATTTAAATAAATCATGCAAAGTTATTGACACAGCTAAATTTGCTGAAAGCTGCTGGGGTTTTCAACTTTTCTCTAAAACCCAGAAAGGCTGGTTAATTTAATTGTCTCACCAACCAAAAGACAAAGCAATTTGGGCCTCTCAGTGCCTTTTTATTTTTTTATTTATGTTAATTTTTTATTGAAGTATAATTGACATATAACATTAGTTTCAGGTGTACAGCATAATGATTTGATATTTGTATATTATGTGAAATGATCACCATAATTATTCTAGTCTCCTTCAGTGCCCTTTGAGGAAGATAGTGGCTCTGGCTTAAAACAAATGACATTACTCTTGGTCTTGATGCTTTGTGTGTTCAGCAAATCAAGGCAGGTTTATTGGGTGAGAAAATAAATGGATCAGCAAGTGAGGATTGCTTTTCAATCTACTGCATCCTTAAAAATAAATTTCTGCAATATATAATCAAAGCTTAAAGCTCTGAATTCTGGCTAAGGATTACAGCAAGGAAGAACAATGAAAACATTTAGTAATTATATTATTATTCCTATGTCTAGGAAAAAATCAATTGCATTTGAATGGCGGGAGAACAGCTGCCTTTTAAATTTGTAGATTCTACTATGATTAATGAAATTATGATTAGATTTTAAAGGTATTCTTGAGCATTTTAAGCCTTTCATTTTATACTATTTTTTGTTCAGCATAACACATAAGCTGGAGTTTTAAGTAAAAGAAAATTAATGATTTCACAAATATTACCTACGTCTGCATTAGTTTAATTATTATTTTTTATTGAAGCATAGTTGACACACACTGTTACATTAGTTTCCGGTGTACAGCACAGCGATTTGACAATTCTATATGTTATTATTGTGCTCACCACAAGTGCAGCTTCCATCGGTCACCATACAGCGCTATTACAATACCACTGACTATATTCCCCTTGCTGTACCTTTCATCCCCATGACGTATTCACTCCATAACTGGAAGCATGTACCTTTCACTCCCTTTCACCCATTTTACCCAGTCTCTTATCTCCCTCCCCTACGGCAATCATCAGTTTGTTCTCTTATGGGTCTGTTTCTGTTTTTTGTTTGTTTGTTTTATTTTTTAGATTCTACATATAAGTGAAATCATATGGTATTGTCTTTGTCTGACTTATTTCACTTAGCGTAATACCCTCTAGGTCCATCCTTGTTGTCACAAACAGCAAGAACTCACTCTTTTTTATGGGTGAGTAATATTCCATTGTATAAGTATACCACATATTCTTTATCCATTCATCTATTGATGGACACTTGGGTTGCTTTCATATCTTGGCTATTGTAAATGATGCTGCAGTAAACATAGGGATGCATATATTTTTTCAAATTAGTGTTTTTATTTTCTTTGGGTAAATACCCAGGAGTGGAATTACTGGATCACATGTTATTCCTATTTTTAAATTTTTGAGGAAACTCCATACTGTCTTCCACAATTGCTGCACCAATTTACATCCCCACCAACAGTGTACAAGGGTTCCTTTTTCTCCACATTCTCACCAACACTTGTTATTTCTTGTCTTTTTGATTTTAGCCATCCGGACAGGTGTAAGGGGATCTCTCACTGTGGTTTTGGTTTGCATTCCAATGATGATGAGTGATGTTGAGCATCTTTTCATGTGTCTGTTGGCCCTCTGTATGTCTTCTTTGGAAAACCGTCTATTCAGGTCCTCTGCTGATTTTTAAATAGGACTGTTTGGTTTTTTTTGGTGTTGAGTTGTGTAAGTTCTTTATATATTTTGGATATTACGTCCTTATCAGATATACCATTTGTAAATATCTTCTCTCATTCTAAGTACACTGCTTTTTCATTTTGTTGATGGTTTCCTTTGCTGTGTAAAAGCTTCTTACTTGCACAAGTTTAATTATTGATCACAGTATATGTTATATAATCCAGTTCCATAAAATGAAATTCTAGATCTCTAAGCACAACTGTTTGGTCAGCCTCTCACTCTTTATGGGTTACCTGAAAGGAAGGCCTTGTCTGGCTTTAGCTGTGGACTTATAAATACCTCTGGTCCATTGATTTGCTACAAGAGTGGCAGTCTGTTTTCAAGTTTAATTGGAAATTGTTTTTGCACAATTTAGTGGTTGATAAGTTAGATCAGGGAAGTTCCTCCAATTGTCTGTATATCCGTCTTGTACAATATGGTAGCCAGTATCTATCATAATGCTACTGACCTCTTGAGATATGGCTAGCGCCATTGAGGAATTGAATTTATAAGCTTAAATAGCCACATGTAGCTATTGGCAACTGTACTGGGCAGTAGAGTTCTATATCATCACAAGGGATACGTGCAGGAGAAATGCCTCAAAGGACTCACTTTCTAACAGAACAGTTGATATTCTAAAATGTTTTTTTTGTATAGAGCCCCCTTTTAATATCCAGAAGTATCAAGGATCTGTACCTAAAAGTGGTTATATTTTGAGTATGTGTTGATTGAGAAAATATAAATAGAAAAGCTAAGAAATAATTTAGTAAGGATTTTAAATACATTTGAACTTTATTTGTGATAACAATATCTCCATTCTCCTGAGAGCAAGGAGTCCCGACATGGGTAAGATATATGATGGTTCCATATATAGACAGGGCTTGGTGCCCCGGACAGATGTAAGGAACCCATAGAATAACTTCTGCACTCGCCAAGTTGGAAAACACTGTTCTAGAATTAAAAGATGAGAAGGAAAGATATTAAAAGATAAAAATAGTAAGAAGAAAAATTCATTGAAAGTGTGGCAACACTTCATAAGGGTTAAGAAGCACCAAAGGATGAAAGGCTAACAGCTCTGGGCCTCAGGTGTTTTGTGTGCATACTAAAGTGTGTGACACCTCTTTCCATTATGGGGATTATTATTTGGCTTCAAATCTTCAACTTCTACTACTTAGGAATCTTTTTCTTTTAGAGAACAACATTTCTCTTTAATGCTCTTTTAAAATCTAAGCATTAAAAAAATAGAGATGGTTTGCATTAGAAGTCATGCCCAATGGTCTGTCAATAGTTGTAGTTTGAGTTAAAGATTAATACTTATTTAGTCATTAGATACAAAATGATGTCCTTCATGATATAACTGAACTGCCCTCACCTGCTTCTTTCCCCTGCTCCATTTCTGTTGGAGGTCCTGCATATTACAGCTGCAGACAAAGGCTAAAGGTAGGGTTGTGCAGTGGTTACCCCTCACCAGTGCACCCACTTAAACCTACAATCTAAATGAAAACAGTGTGCTTGTCACTACACCATGAAGACAAATCTCCTAGCATCTCAGATCACCACTCCAAACCCCAACAGTTTAGAAGTTCTGCGTCCTCCACTGTTTGGCGGGAAGGGAAGAAATCTCAGACTGTATAATCATTGTCTCCATAATTAAATACCAGCTTCATGGCATGGATTTAGAGAAGAATATACTTTGTGATTCTTAAGCAACCTGGTTTTAGGATGGTTCTATTCTCAAAAGATATGGATGGCAATAGGAGAAGCATTCCTTGCTAATGCTGAAGCAAACCCAGAGTTATTGAAAAGAAAATGAAACTTAAACAGCCTTATATTATGAGGTAGTTTCAAATAATATGCTTATTACTTCATATTCTCAAACGTTGACATATTCCATAATCCCACCAGCTCTTAAAATAGGATGAACTATTTCAAGTTATTGCTCTAGGTGGCATTGAAAGCAATCCCATGGGCAGTAAACCTTGACATCCTAAACAAATACGCTGTTCTTCAGAGCAGTGGCATACAACTGCCTGGAGAAAGTAATCGTAATGCAGGGAACAATGCCATGTTCTGCTCCATCACTTAATGATAAATTATGTTTCATCAAGTCATCTGTAAGATACATTAGGTCATTCCAGGACCGACACAACTGCTAACCTCCGCATGTCCTCGCTGGCATGGTTAATAAATCTGAGCAACGCATGGGCCATTTGTTGAAAATACATATTTTTCTCTTTGGGGGGAGGGGGGATCGTCTACTCAAATCCAAGACTGTACATTAAGTTCCAATTTCATTTTTATTAACAAAACAAATCAGTAGCTCTCCCAAGCAGTGAAGCACAAAGACTGGAAAATGACCCAGCAAGCACTCACATAGAGACAGATGTTGCCATCAACCTGTTACATTGACATTTACCTGAATGAGGTTGGCAGCTGGGTTCCTTCTTTTCTCGAAGTGTTTCTGACGGTGCTGTTCTTGTACTTTTAATGCAAAACCTGAGCCAAGAATGCCCTGGAACAAAATACAAAAATAGTACTTAAAATTTTTTTTCGAAAGGACTATTAAGACAAATATTTAAAAAAACCCTCTAAAATGAGTCTGAGAAAAGACAAACACTGTGCAACCTGTTGGTAAACATATTACTTATTAAAACAAATACTATTTACCTCTGTTATAGCACCACTGGCAATGGCAAGTTCTGAGGCAAGCCTGTCAAGAAATGTAACAACTTTTGTTCTTGAGTAAATCAACCAGGCAATGCCATTTATGATTTCTTATAGTGTGGTAAGAGGCACCACAATTATAAATAAAAGTCCCAATTTTGAAAAATGTTTGTGTGTGTGTGCGTGCGTGTGTGTGTGTGTGGCCTTCTCCGTGACACTTCTTTATGTTTAAGTTAGAGTAAATGGTTGTATCGATTTGGAATTGGGGGCATGATGGAATTTAGAGGATAGGAATTCTGGTTTGGATAGAGGTGGGTTTAAAATTTGGGACAGTTAATGTCTTGCTACTGTGGACATGAGAGTTTTTCTAGCACTTTGATGATACTCTGAAATTTTATATTTTCCATTCTTGAAATGGTGGGGGCATATTTAAAATCTTTCCCAGCTTAATGATCCATGATGCTATATTTCTACACCTACCAAAGTAAAGTGAAAGGGGTGGGGGGAGACAGCTATCCAGACACTCAATTTTGAAGATAGTAAGTTTTCCATTTTGCCTGTTTATATAATAAAGACAAGAGCACGGGTTATTGCAAAGCACATTCCTACTTCCCTGAGTTTTAATCTCATACTTTTAGCATTCCTTTCCTTTTTGGTTTTAGCTCACCTATTGAGATTTTGGGGTTAGTAAGACGAGTTGTCTCTCCTAGGTTTATATTAGTACTTTGGCTGGTTTGCTTCCTTCTGCTTATCATTTTGATCTGCCAAAATCCTGGCTCTTTGAAATGCCTCCTTCTTTGCAGTTTGTTTTGGTCTTACATCAGTGGAATCAAGATACTTTGTTTCAGCCTTAGGTTGGCTTTTGGAGCTTGCTGCATTCAGTCTCTGGGCTTTGTCCATAAGTCTCCACTTTATTGGCATGGGACATGGAGCTCCCCTGCTTTCAGGTCTGTGGATTTCACCGGCTAGCTATAAATTACTACCTTTTTATTAAACTTCAAGGAGTCTAACCCTTAGGCTAGAGATGGATGTCTTATAAGCACTGAGTCAGTATTTGCTGTAGATAGGGAATGGTTGTTTTTCTTTTCTTTATATTTTTAAAGTAGCTCAAAGATGGTCTAGGCTACTGTGGCAGGTGGTGGGGTTCTCATCGATAGGAGGTGTGAAGTCTCGGCTGGATGACAACTTGGGGAAGATACTTTTGGACTCTAGGTCACCTTTAACCTTCCTTCTTATCTTAGATGTCCCAATTCTGAGCATATTCATGACAATAACCAGACAATCAGTAATGCAATTATGTTTAAAATACAGCTATATGATAATACTGTTTGCTATTAATGAGCAAAATTGACTCCATATTAATTAGGGTGAATGACTGTACCGTGAAATTAGAAATTACATCATAGGTTCTGTTTTCCATCTGTCTTTTTCTGTGATTGTCTCATGCCGTCTGAGATCTTCATTAGGTTGAGGTTACATCAACCAAACTTCGTGCAAACATAAAAACCCAGTCTGTATGATCTTGTTTGTCGATTTAAACAACATTTCCCTCTAACTAGAGGTTATAAAAATGGTCTTCCAACTTCAGTCATTTATAACTCCTAAATTTTTCCCTGCTATTTGAAAGCAGGAAAGATTTATTTTCCTTTTAATGTTATTTTTCATGAAATATAAACATGTAAAAGAATATAAAACAGAGTTTATATGACATATTTGTTGCATGTATTGTGTGTATGTACATTATGTGCATAGTGTATGTAATCCACTCATGGAGCATAATTCAGATTTTGTAGATATTAAATTAACAGCAATAGCTACCATTTTTGGGCACTTACGTGAAAATGAGGTTTAGAGTTAGATCCCTTTTGGAAAATAAAGACAGGCCCTACATAGCACAAACTCAGCATTTGCCAAACAAACTAAAATGTGCTAAAAATCACACTGGCATTGCTTAGAAACATATATTAGTAGTTGGCAAATGTTTACTACATATCTCTTGCACCAGATTGTACATTACAAAAGTTATTAAACCAGCTCTGCTCAGATTGTCTCATTATGGCTCCATTCCAATTTTCTTCCACCTCTTAAGTACATAGCTCAGTGAACCTAATGAAAAGTCTGCTAAAATAAAGTCCATCAGGTTTTATATATTTAACTTATGAGAGATAAATATGATACAGATGTATATAATCCATGTGTGGTCCCTTCAAATATCAACATCAATATGATGAAAATTCTCAGAAATTGAGTTTTGTTTTAATTCATCATCTAAGATCATGTGACTTAAATCTTTAGGTTTTACGTTTTAATGCTATGTTGAGAAGTGCTACATAAACAGTAAGTGCAGAGAAAATATGTTTTGGTAAATATTTTAAATATTTATCCCTTTTTACCTCCTAGATTTAAGGAGCCCACTGTGCATCTCACACAGGCAGACAGGCTCGACTGAATGATGCTCTCAGAAGGAAGGAAGGGAGCATCCGAAAGAGGAGAGAGGCCTGTGCCTGAGGATGATGCTGAGGAGCAGAGTACCTGTGCCTGCTCATTAGTTCTGGGATGTTGTGGGCCTCAAGGAAAGTGACCTCCCCGTGGAGTTTGGGAAGGGTGGCCTGCGTGCCTCTGTGAGGTTCAGGAGAGTCCTTCTGCTTTGAAGAAAGGTGGGGAAAGGTTCTTCTCTTTCTTGGTCCTTGGGTTTCCTGGGTGGGAGGAACGCCAAGCCAAGGATGGCTCACGACTCACCTCTAACTTTCCTAGCAAAATGTGCTCTCCTAAATCTTAATCACACAATGCTGTTGCAGGCAGGTACCTAAGACATAATGGCATTTCCAGCCACCTTGTTTTTTCTTTCTGGTATGGTATATATGGACCATTTAGTCTTTCATTCAATAAATAAGAACTCAGCACCTAATGTGAGGTTGCAGTAAGACATTGTGGTAAAGCCAACTTCTCTTGCCATTGTTAGGGAATGTTCTGTTCTGTGCAAGCAAGTTTTTCACATTTCCCACACATATTAATTTAAATTGCATATATGAAGATTGTAATCACTTTATTGGGAAATATTTCCAAGCATGACTGCTTCGTCTCTGACCTTTAACTTAATGGAATGACATAATTTAACCTTCCTGTGAAAGTCCAGAGGTTCATCATGGGGACCGGTATTTGGCTGTGCTGGACGCAGCCGGCTTCTGGAGGTGGGTCGACCCTAACACTAACTGGCCCCGGATCCTTCCACATTTGGAACACTTGTGTCGGCTTGCCCCTTACAGGCTTTTCCACTCCTTTGTTGTTAGTCTTCCACCACCTCTTCTTGTTACAATATTTGTTCAGACTACCTCTCTGCCTTTGCTGTTTATAATCTTCAGAGAGTTGTGAAATATGTAGCTCAGCTTATCAGAATTTTCTCTAAATTAAGAACGGGTTATGAATTAGGTCTCAAGAGGCTCTCCCATGAGGACAGCACACACACGGCTGTCGATCTTAATAGCCCAGAGGTTGCCTCCGACCCTGATGGTAGCTTTTCACCAGATCACAGAGGTTGTTTTATATGTGGTCTCAGGAGCACATATAAACACAAAAACAGCAGGTATTTTGGTTAAAAAAAAGCCCAAGAATGTGTCTTACTGTTTCTAAAAGTATTTTCATGTAGGGAATTTGATTATTGAAAGACTCTCGGCTCTGTTCTGGATTGTTGAGCTTGCCAGATAAGTTGATTGTGGATTAAGTGAGATGTTTTTTTGACTCTCCTTGATTTTGTCACTTCACAACAGGAAACGATATATCTAGATTCATACAGAAAATGGAAGAAGCACTTCATGAAAGTTTTCTTCATGACAAGCACTTGACTTATATTACCACATTGGCCTTCACAAAATTTCTCTGGGTGCCATAATTCTTCCTCTTTCATGCAGATGAGGAAATGTGCCCAAGGTTACTGTTATTGGCTGAACTGCATCCCTCCAGAATTCATATGTTGGAGTCCTAATTCCCAGTACCTTAGAATGTGACCTTACTTGGAGATCAGGTCTTTACAGCAGTAATCAAGTTACAAGGAGGTCATTAGGGTGGGCCCTAATATAATATGCCCGGTGCCCTTATGAAAGGGGATTTGGACATCGACAGGAACAGAGGGAAGACCATGGGAAGGTACAGGGCGAAGACTGTCACCCACGAGCCAAGGAAAGCAGTCTGGAAGAGTACCTTCTCTCATGGCCCTCAGAGGGAACCAACCCTGCCATCCCCTTGATTTTGGACTTCTCAACTCCAGAACTGCGAGATAACAGGTTTCTGTTGTTAAAGCCACTCAGTCTGTGATACCTTTACAGCAGCCCCAGCAAACGAACACAGTCACGTTGGCAGTGCGTGACAAAACCATGCAGCACGTGGCTTTACATTCAAGCTAAGATCGAGTGCTCAAGCGAATGTATAGTCTTTTCAGCGTCTTCTCCGTGGTCTTGTATGGTCTGGGGCTGAAGCAGCTGGTCAATCCAGAGTTGAGCTCCGGGTACGGGAACGACATGAGCCTCCTCGGCGCTCAGTCCCGGGCAGAGCAGGAGCCCCGTGAGCTAAAGGCCAGGGGGCTGAAAATCCCTAGTCCCTTGGCTTCCTTTGGAGGGGTGCTCTGGGGTCTCCGTTTGGCAGAGGCTGTGACGCAACTGAGCATCTGTCTGGAGCAAGAGTGAGGCTATTGTTCCTTAAGCATGACCGCTGCCATGACTGTCACGCTCCTTTTTGTTGGCTCCACTCCCCTACAAGAGGTGGAGTGGACAAAAGTGGGAGTTTGGGGATGGAGGCAAACTGTAATATTTTGACCAACTAACTGCCTTTGAAGAAACAAGAAGATAAAATGATCAGAGAGCAAACTTCATCTTTTGGGAAAATAATCAGAAGCTTGGGAGAAGATAAATGTGCTCTTCATTCTGATAAGATGCAGAAGCTGTTCATGAGGAAAAATCAATGACAAGGACAGAAAGAATAAATCATCTGACACACAGAAAGCCTTTAAGGTCATATGCTTTTCACTCAAATGGAGAGGTAAATATTCCACTTGTCACATCCATCTCTTCAGCAGCACACATTATAAGCCAAAATGGAGAGACCAGTTTAAAAAGAAGATATCTTTAAATGTTTACACACATTTTAAATGTATTAGTAGCACGTTGACTGAGAGGTGATGCCATCTGAATTATTATTTGGTCATAAAGACCTAAAGGGATAAAACTCCCAGTTTGAGCATCTCCAAGGGAAGACCATATTTCATAAGTTTTCCAATGAGATGTATGGAGAAAGGTCAACATTATATCAATACAATTATATCTGTAAGCGATATAGATATGTTCCCGGGCCTTCCGATTTGTGAAAGCTGATGCTAATAAACCTCTAAGATCTAATTTAAATGGCTTTATTTTTGCAAAGATACTCACGGCAGGAAGTGCAAAGAAAGAAATGCCAAGAAGCGCAAAGCCTGCAGAAAGCAATCTTCCCAGCCAAGTTAGGGGGGTTTTGTCTCCATAGCCAATCGTTGTCAATGTAATCTAAAAACAAAATAAATAGAACATGCGGCTTAAGTACTTGAGAGGAAAGTTAGGACCTATGAACAGGAGGCAAAGCCACTTTTCCACTAAATCATTATTCAACAAGCCTCGTTGGCGCATTTTATTACTGTGCTTTAATTTTCCGTGACGCATAACAGAGCTTCTCTTTGTTTAAGGAAGGGAATAGCCTACATACTTGTTCCTTCCTTATAACACAATTTTCCATCTTTTCTAAGTGTATTCAAAGAAAGGTTATTTAAATAAGTGGATAACCATCAGTGATACAGAAATGATAGCACCATGGATTTAGGGCTGGATCAGTACACAAAACAATAATTTACGTTAATTAAAGCTATCTATTTATTACCTTGGCAGGCACTTCCTGGAGGTCTGGTGTGTGCAAGGTACATGTTATGATTTGCAGTGGAACAAAAATGAGAGGTACATAGTTCCTGTCCTAAGATATTTATGGCATAAGGCGGGAGACACGTCACACACAAATCATTGAAACACAGAATAGGGCAAGACAAGTATTATGATGGATGCAAAAAGAATCTGCTATGGGGATTCAAAGAACAGATTGATCATCACCATCTTGGGGGAGCCAAGGAGGCTTTATCAGGGAGATGTCAGCATCCCTAGGCTTTGAAGGAGAAGCAATATTTTGAGAGGCAGAAATGAAGAAGAGGGTGATCTAGGGAGGGAAAAGAGGTGGCCAGCCGCATAGCAGTGAGGACAAATAGGGTAGGTTCTAGAAAGTATAAGTTGTTCAGTTGGGCTGGAGCATGGTGGGTCTGAAGAGGATTAGTGGAAGAGATTAGCTAGATATGCTGTAGCTAGATCAGGGAGTGTCTTTAAAAAACGATATTTGGATCATGTCTCTGCCATGATCACACTGCTCTGGGATCTTCCCATGTGTCTTAGGACAAAGTCCCAGCTCCTCTCCAGGGCCCACAAGGTTCTGCATGACCTAGCATTAATGATGGGGCAAGTGAACTGGGACTGTATGGGAGTGCAGAGTAAAGAGGTGTGTTAGGAAGTGCAATAGAAATGCGTTTGTTAATTGTCCGGGATGAAAAGGGAGACTAAGTCAACAAGGACTTAAACATTTCAAGGGGAAGATGGTTGTGCCATAAATAGAAATACGATAATGGGAAAAAGAAGATTTTGGAGCAAAGACAGAGAGTTTGGTTTTGCAAATAAGTGCTTTTTAAATGACAGCACGACTCTGATCTAGAAATGTCGAGCAGGAAATTGAGATAGAGAGCTCGAGTCTTGAAAGAGAAATTGGGTTCGGCATGAGATTTGGGTTTTGGAATCAGGCACAAGATGATTGTTGAGGCTTCGTGAATAAATGAGACTGCAAAGGCTGCATAGAAGGGGTCCAAGGACACCTCGGGGAACAGACACTGAAGGGATGGGAGGCAGAGGAAAGTCAGAGAAGAATAAATGTTTTAAAAAGTAAGGGAACTGGAAATGGGTTATATAAATGGAAACTCAACAGAGAGGGGAGTTTCATAAAGGACCAGGTGATCCCTAGTCTCACAGTCTCATAGAAAACAGGACAGTGAGGACTGAGAAAAGATACTGGATATGGAGATCAATGGCCACTGATTTCCAAGAAAGCGGTTACTTTGGTTTTATCCTCCGACCTGGCCTTGGACAGTGGGGTTACATTTGAGAGGCAGAAATGACAGGAGACGATGCTCCAGGATGCCAGACCTTTCAGAAACTTTCAACTCAGCTCCTGAGCCCTCCCCAGCTTTCTTCTCTCCTCACTTGCATGGTTTTTCTCTTGGTATCTTTGGTGGCTCCTCTTATGTAGCACCTCCTACGCTAGTCAACCTTCGACTGTTGGATTCTTAAGGTTTGGTTCCGAGCTCTCGCTTTTTAAAAATTTTATTCTTCTCTCACTTTCTTTCCTCTTCCGTCCCCTCTTTCTTTCTCTTTTCCCAGGTGATTTTTTTTAAAGGTTTTATTACATTTATTTGAGAGAGAGACAGAGTGAGAGAGAACACGAGCTGGGGGAGGAGGGGCAGAGGGAGAAGCAGACTCCCCACTGAGCGGGGAGCCCAATGTGGGACTCGATCCCAGGACCCTGGGATCACGACCTGAGCCGAATGCAGATGCTCAACCGACGGAGCCAGCCAGGCGCCCCCTTCCCAGGTGATCTTAAGTGTTCTCCTGGATTTAAATACCATTTTTATGGTGCACAACAAATTCATACCTCCAGGCCAGATTCTTCTGAGCTCCAGATTCACATATGTGCAGCAGGCTCCCTGCTGAGCAAGGAGCCCGATGCGGGGCTCGATCCCAGGACCCTGGGATCATGATCTGAGCTGAAGGCAGATGCTTAACTGACGGAGCCACCCAGGTGCCCCTAAAACAGAAAACTTATTCTCCCCAAACCTGTCACTCCCCCAAATGCATTCCCTCGCTTCCTAATCAAGGGCACGACCGTCCCCCCAGCTGCTCATGTCAGAAGCCTCAGTCGTCCTCACCGCTTGTTTCCCTCACTCCCTCCCTGAACTGATCAAGTCCCACGGGTTCTAACTCCCAAAGAAGATACTGCCAAATCATCCCCTGCTCACTCTCTTCCCTGCCATGGTGTCAGGCCAGCCTGCTGGAGCAATTTCTCAATTGCTTTCTCTGATTTGGCTCTTGATTCCCTCCAGTTCCTTCCCTCTACACCTGTGAGGGAAATTATTTTGTTACTTCCCTTTAAAAATCCTCCAACAGCTACTCATTGAATTCAGAATAGACTCTAAGATCCTAACTGTGGCCTACCTGACCTGGTCTCCACCTACCTCTCCAAGATCATCCTGATTTCATCCTTGCTCACTGTACTTTGACCACAATGTCCTTTCAGCTCTTCAAATAGGCCAGATTATTTCTGCCACAGGGCCTTTGCATATCCTGTTTCTTCAGCCAGAACTGCTCTTCTCCCCACCCTTCCCAGAGCTCCTTCTCATTCTTCAAGTCTTATCCCAAATACTCCATCATCAAAGCGGCCTTCCCTACCCACTCTGTCTACAATAGGGCCCCCAGTTACTTTCTATTTCAGCCCCTTGTTTCTTAATAGAACTTACCATAAGTGGTAGATTTCTGTATGTTTCTTTGTGGAGGGGGTCCTATTTCCTTTACCAGAAGGGAAACCGTGTCTTTGTTATCTCTCTGACATCTAGCATGATACTTTGCACAAAGTAGGAGGAACTCAATATATATTTAGTAGATAAATGAAGAATCCTTTCAAGAACACTGGCAACAAATGGAGTGAGGAAAATAGAGCCAGAACTCCCAGAAACCTCGGACTTGAAGGCGGGTTTTCTAGGATGTATTTGTGCATGTCTGCAGAGACAGCGAGACTGAGGGGGGGGGAAGAGTGGTAGCTTTATTGCAGGGTAAGGCAACCATGGAAGAGGGAAAATAGGAAAAAGGGTACAGTTGGAAGGGTAGCCTTGGCAGTTTGGAAGGACGTGTCTTCTACCATGGGAGAACGATGTGGACACGGTATGAGTGAAGGGCAGCGCTGGGAATGCCTGAGTTGGCTCTCTTCAATTCCAGTAAAGGAGAGAGTGCGGTCAGCTGTGGGGAGTGGAAGGCTTAGAGCTTGGGGCAGTGACAGTGAGAAGGTGTCAGGGACAAACCAACAAGAGGTCTACAGAACAGAGGAGGCTCATCCAAGGTTGGAGAAAGCGAATTTGTAGTAGAACTTGGTAGCCAACTTAATCACACATCACTGGCAGTATGAGGGGTGGGCTCTCCAAGGAATTCCCCGAGATTGCAGAAAAAATATTCCTGGTTCAATTTTATTATAGGTTCCTAATTCTTACATATGTGGGAAAGATTTTAATTTATAATTTTTCTGCAAAATAGCTTAATCCTTTTACAGCAGTTTAATCATAATAAATGGAAGGAGATATTTCATGGTTGATCACAGCAATAATGGTACATTTCATGGTAAACTTTACATTCTAATAATACAGTAGTCCCCCCTTATCCATGAGGGATACATTCCAAGACCCCAATGGATGCTTGAAGCCACAGATAGTACTGAATCCTATATATACTATGTTTTTTTTTCCTATACACACATACCTATGATAAAGTTTAATACATAAATTAGGTACAGTAAGAGATCAATGACAATAACTAATAACAATTATAACAATATGCTGTAAGAAAAGTTCTGTGAATGTGGTCTCTCTTAAAATATGATACTGCGCTCACCCTTCTTGTGATGATAAAATGCCTAGTGATGAAGTGAGATGAATGAGGTAGGCATGGTGACGTCGCGTTTAGGCTAACACTGACCTTCTGACTAAACGTCAGGAGGAGGACCATCTGCTTCCCGGGTGCAGATTGACCGCAGGTAAGGGAAGCAGTGGAAAGAGAAACCAGGGATAAGGGGGGAACTACTGTGCGTTTGAGTTGTTCTGCTTGGCTCATGGCTCAGAGAGCGGGTTTTGTTTTTTTTTTTTTTTAAATCCAAAGAATGAGACACAGCTAAGTGACGATGTGCCCAGTGTTTCATTCTGAGTAGAGAAGAATGCCTGCTCTCTCTCATTCTGAATTTAGAGTTGCCCTCCCTCTTACAGGTGTGCTTTGTCAGGGAGAAAAGAACCCCGTGAACTCTGAGAGCGGCCCCCTGGAGCCCCTTGGGGGACGGCAAAGACGCTGCCCACCTTCTCTCTGAGCTGGGTTCCAGCTGGCAGATGACCCCATGTCCGTGGCTGCAGGGGGCTGGAATGGTTGGCAGCCTTGCTCAGGTGCAACCAGTTCCTCCACTCCATTTTCAAAGTCTCTCGGGATGTTGCTTGGTTGGAAGCATAGAGGCCCTTTGTTGTGGGCCTGGGCTTGAGAAGGATCTGGCAACCGGGTAGCGGTTTTGTCTCAGTCCATGCCAGGGAGCGGGACTTTTATTTCATGCCTGCTGGGAGCAGGTCACTTTTTGTAGCTGCAAGGGGGGCAACTGGGCTCCCTGATGGGGACAGACGGGT